GGTCACTCATGACCGAAATTACTGACCGAAATGGCAGTTTCGATCATGAATGATCGATATTGGAGACTGATGTGCTTCCTGGGATTAGTATCGGTCATCATTGATCGACACACTTGACCGAAATACATCCGGTGTGATTGTGTCGGTCATGAGTGATCGATACTGGTGACCGAAATTTGTCCTGCTTTCAAACTTCTTTCCATATCGGTCACAAGTGTTGACTGGTGTAGACTGGCTCCACTGATATCAATGAATCATGACCGATACTGATGACCAAAAATCTGTGTATCGATCTGTCATGACCGATACAAATGATCGATATCAGCCAGAATACACCTGTTCTTTGTCCCCTTCAGACTTTCTCATACCCCAGTTCTAAATCCTGCTTCTATACACTAAAACAAAGCATAAAATATAAACTAGAAAGCATAATATATACAAAAAGATACCATGGGACTACCTCCCAAGTGTGCTTGTTTAAAGTCACTAAGCTTGACTTTGATTACCTCTTTAGTTGAGGTGGGGAGAGGTTGATGGAGCTGGAGCTCCTACCTCTTTCTTCTTCCATACCCATGTTCCTGATGATGGTTTGTGCTGTTTGTCCCTTGATGATATCCCATGTCTCTTCTCTTTGACACTTGGTTTGATTGGAGGCTTCACAACCTTGGTGGTTAAGTTCTCATTGCTCTTCAAACCTCCTTCAAGCTTCAATTCAGCATTCAGTGTTCTGTCCTGGCTCAGCAGGGGAAGCATCATCCATAAACATGTTCAAAGTGAAGTTCAACACATCATCAAGATTATCTGGGAGATTCCATTGTTCACACTCTTGCTCAAGTACTCCACAGAAAATAATGGGGGGGGGGGGGGGGGGGGGGGGTCAATTTTGTAGACCTTGAATTCATCAACATTCTTTAGAATGACTGAGCCTCTCTTGAAATCCAACTGAGCTCCTGTTGTTGCCAAGAATGGAGTGCCTAGAAGAAGTGGCACCTCTCTGGAATATGTTTTCTCCATGACCACAAAGTCTGTTGGAACTAGGCAATCTCCAATCCTTAAAGGGTAGTCCTTCACCATGCCCAAAGGTTTTATGGAAGTGTTGTCCACAAAAGTGATAGAAGTCCTGGATGGCAGCAGTTTCTTGATCCCCAGAGTTTGGCTCAGATGGAGAGACATGACATTGACAGTTGATCCTGAATCACATAGGGCTTTGACATTGTCAAGCATCTCCAGCTCACAAGTGATGAAGAACTTTCCTGGGTTTGTGATTTTTGGCAATGACTTTATCATCTTGCTCTTTTTCATGTGAGCCCCCACATTCTCAAGGATTGGTTCCACCACTTCCAGCTTGTCAAAGACTTCTTTCAGGAACCTAATTTGATGCTTCACTTCTAGCAAAGTGGTGCCATGTGGGAGTTGTATTCCAGCATCTTGTATGTCTTGCTTGAACTTTGTGTACATCTCCATTCTAGCTTTTGTGAAATTCATCGAGGGGTAGGAGACTGGTGGTTTGCAGTCCTTAGGTGAAAGTTCTTTACCCTTTTCAGTAGTGCTTGAAGAGGTACCCACTTGATTATGGTAGAGCTCCTTAGAGTCCTGAGGAGTGTTGTGAGACAAAACCATCAAAGCATAGTGTGTCTCTTCATCAGCATCAGTGTGCTTTGGTGTGGGGGTCTCTTCTGTAGCAGCTGGGGTTTCCTCAGCCCCCTCTTTCTGAGCAGCTTCCAGTGCTGCTCTTTCCTGTTCTTCTCTGTTTAAGCATTCATCAAATCCACGGAGGAACTCCCCTACAACTTCCTGAGCTTCTTGATCACTAATGTGACTTCTTCTGTCTTCCCCTCCATATTCAATCCTCATTCTGTCTATATGTATCAGCATTTCTTGGATCATGATACCAAGCTCTTCCAATGATGCATCTTCATCAAGGAGTTCCTCTTCCTCTTCCTCTGCTTCTTCAGTGAGTAGATGGCAGAATTGCTGAGGGTTGTATACAGCTTGTGTAGTAGGAGTATCCTGAAGTCTTGGTGTTGGTGCATCATTTTGGCTGTTCTCCAGGAGTTGTATCCTTGAGTCTAGACCCTCAAATTTGGCATGAAGGTCATCATGAACATAAGCAATCCTGTTGTGCAGCTCAGCAAATCTCTTGTTCATCTCTATGTTTCCAATGGTTTGGAGATTGATGTTGACCATGATCATGCTCCTAATGTCAGCTGATTCAGATGTAGGAATATAGGGTTGGTCTTGATTGTGGGAAGGAGTGTAGCTCTCTTCAAAGTAGTGCAGAGGTAGAGGCTCTTGGCAGAAGTTGTTGTAGGTAGTGTCTTCAAAGTACACCATCTTAATGTGTTGTTGCAACTCATCTGAAATGAAAACACTTGAAAACAGAGTTAGTAACCAAAGAAAAGTAAAAGCTTGATCATAAAGATTCTACAAACTCTAATGATTCAAACTTAATTCCCAAATGGCAACGGCGCCAAATTGATACAAGCTTTTTGTGACTTGTTTTCAATCACCCTTGTACTAGTCAGTTATATTATGGGTTTTATGTCAATCCAATTGGGAAGAGTTGAAAACAGAAGAGTTGAGAGTAAAATCTCTAAGTCAAGCAAGCAGAGAAAAGGTTTTGTTGCCTAAGCAACAGTTCTAGCAACCTAGGTGAAGCAAGCAGCAAAGAAAGTGAAAGCAAAAGCAATCCAAGCAGTTTTAAACAAGAAAAACAGAGTAAAACAGAGCAAAACAAAGCAAATCCGAGATTCAAATAAGAGAAAGGCAAGTTCCTAGATGTGGTTATTGACTTTGGGGAATTTCAGACATTAACTAAGGCTGTTTCAAACTACATTGATCAAGCAAGTAAGCAAGCAATAGTGATTCCTAGACATAGAGTTCACAATTAAGCTAGTTAGATCCAATCTCTTGGCAAATAACCCTTTGCTAAACATTCTAACAAGAACTAACTCTCATTAGTGCTAAAACATCAAGCAAGCAAGAATAAACAACTCTATTAAAGTCAAAATGCTCCTCAAACAGTCAATCTCTTGAGCCAAGGCCAGCAAATCCTCTATTAAACAATATCAGCATTTCATCAAACACTTGGTGGGCATAAGAAAAAGCTAACAACTTAGACCAGTTTGATCAAGACTAATCTAGCATGAATAACAGATTAATAGAGAGGAACCCATAAACTAAAGCACTTAACAAGCCTTAATCAAGCCTTAAATTCCCCTAATCTACCACATCTAGAAACCCTAAGATAACTACTCACTCATAATCATGTTTAACACCAAATCACAAAGGGAAAAGATGCTAATCATGATTAAAAGAGAGATTAAAAAAAGATTAAAGCAAATACTTGATTATATTAAACAAAGCAAATAAATTGTCTTATAAACTTAAAGAAAATGCTCAAGAACAGTATTTTGACAAGACATGTCGAAAATCTTGAAAAAAAGGCTATTTATTTCCTAGAGAAGAAAACCCTAGAGTAGTGGCATAAGCGTAATTAAAAACAGGTTCGGGCTGGTCAGTATCGGTTAGTTGTGTCGGTCTTCAGTGACCGAAATGGATCCCTATCGGTCTGGAGTGATCTACACATATGACCGAAATCCATCTATTGTGTTTGTGTCGATCACACTTGATTGATACTGGTGATCGACACTGCTCTGTATCGGTCATCCTTGACCGATACTCACTGTGCTCTGACCGAAAACTTCTGCAGAGATCTTCTGCTTCGATCCTTCTTGCTCCCTTTTGCCCAGCTAGCATCCTGGATCATCCCCAAAGCTCCTCCAAACTCCTTTTAGCTCCAAAAGCACCTAAAAACATCCAAAATGCAAAAAAAAATGCAAACTATACTTTAAATGCAACCTAAGTCTAAAAAAAGAAGAAAATAGGACAAAAGCTAAAAGAAAACATGCAAAAGAGGACCAAAATATATACTAAATGCAGCCCTAAATGGTGTAAATACAAGAGATATCAAACGCCGACCTAAAATATGAATGAAAGCTCGAAAACTACGAACAATAAGTTTGCTAGTTTGCCCTAGATCTCGAGAGAGGATTTTCGGATGCCTTGAGAAGTTAAGGATTTCTATATTTTTACCTGATCAAGTCGGTCTTGTGGGAATAACTTCGTGTATCTGAAATAGAAAAACTTCTCTGCCGATGAAGATTTTCATTTATCTAACCAACCTAAATATTTTTTAAAGTTTACAAAATGATTGATCTCAATTGATGTCGGACTTTTAGAAAGGATAAATATCTCATCTCTAACAAATATTCCCACTGTATAGCGCATATATATACCTAATTTATAAATTTTGGATAGTTCGAATATCCTAAATTGATGAACATAATCAAAACAGAACAAGAAACCAAATAATATCCAAATAGATTTTAAACTTTTAGTATCAAAGTACCCGAAACCTGAAAAAACCAAACCAAACCCAAACAGTGCATGGATGCTCAGGCCTAGTAAAGAAAAAGAAGAAGAAGTTGTGGATGGATTTATCTGCAAAGGGTTCTTCAACATGAAAGTTCATATAATATGTACTACAACGGTACAACATATTAAAATGAGAAGATGATTTTAAAACTTATTACGACTAAGCATTTTGCAGATTCCCAATTGACAGTTTCTTTAGAAGACTAATTATATATTGGAGTTGAATTTCTCCTTTCTTCTTTTGGGTCGATCATATTATCTGAAAACAGAGCAACTGAAAACAGGGTAACATCCCATAAAAAAAACTGATTATATTGACTTATTGCTCCGTTCCATACAAAACATATCCTCAGTAAAATCTGGGTAAGTGCTCAATTATTGAGATTAAACCCCAACTCGATACAAAAATACAATAAATCAACCAAAACCAAAATACAATGAATCAACCAAAACCAAAGTAAATATTATAAACAAATAAGTATAGGTATATGGATTGATATATGTTTTTGTCGGAAATGCTCTGCGGTGAGAATGGCTTTGCTGGGTGAAAAAATAGGCTTTTTCTAAGACACAGCAGGAAATCTGTGGCCAGGAAGGTCGGGTGGATCACGGCTGATGAGATTGGCCCATAGATTCGCAAGAGGCACCAAGTAATGTTCTTCGTTCCACTTCACCATCTTGATTCCTGCTTTAACAATTATAGTAATCATGTACTCAAAACCTAGGGCATTCAGGTTTTCGGATCAGTTGGGTTAAGTATTTTGGATTTCAAAGTTTTTTAGGTAACGAAAAATAGGTCCCATAAATAGCCGTTTTTTTATTTCCGTTTGAAATTTAGGTTCGGATGAGTTTTGGATAAAAAAATTCTTATAAAACAAAACTATAATTAGTTGATTTTAATATGATAGATTTAAATGAGATGATTTTTTTCACGTTTTCACGTAGTGAATGGTATGTGGCATTTTCATTAGAATTGATAACTTTTGATTAGGTTCAGTTCAGTTTGTTTTTTGCCCACTCTACTTAAACACAAGGATCAGCATTCCGTATTCAAATCATAAACAATTTAATGCATCCTTACAGGTTGTAGATGATCTTTCTAAACGTAATTGATAGAATTAGCGTACCTGGTACTATCTCAGTATTTAAACCAGAGATGTAGCAAGTGGGTGATGTAGTTGAGGTGATGCAGGTGTGAAGTTTGAAAGCGTCAATTTCATCTATACACTCGATTGATTCTAGAAATTGATCAGCAGAATGGTCACAGTTGATATTATTCCGTAGAGCTTCGTCTAATCCAGAGCTTAACCACAACTCCGCACACTCATCCAAAACAGCCAATACATTGGATGATGCCTTAGCTAATAAAATCCATAGTTTATATAATCTCGTCGAGGCTCTCATAATTTTCATTATTCTGTAAATTTCTCCCACTGAGAGAACGTAGCTCTTCCCTGTTTACACAGAATCATAATAAGTCAAGATAAATGAAAATGGCGTCAATGCAAAATTTGATGTGCTACCAGGCCTGAGATTTTTAACCGAACCAAACCAAGATATTTCGTTTTGGTTCGGTTTCAAGACTGATTAATCTATTGGTTCAGTTCAGTCAGATAACTTTTTTTAAAAGAATTGATTCTAAATTAAGGAGACATTAGATCAATGATTTGAAAGATAATTTATAGTTAAAAACTGAAATACCACCTCATTGATATTTAAAAAAGTTTGGAATACAAATTTTTTATAAATCATTATAGATCTTCAAATTCTTTAAAATCTTCTGAAGCCAAATAAATCCAAAATCACTAATCCAATTAAACTAAATAAATCCAAATCACTAATTCAATGAAGCTAAATAAATCCAAATCACTAACCCCATATGACCTCTAAGATATAATAATGTACCAAACAATACCAAATTATATATAATTGAATTGAAATATATTTAAAATTTCGAACTAATCGAATACCCGAATTTAACAGTATTTAAACCAAAAATACCAAAATCTTTGGTTAATTTCGGTAAAACTTTAAACCTGAACTAAACGATACCCGTATTTTTTGGGTTATTTTGGAAATACTTTTATCAAACCCGACTAACCGAACCTACCGTACTAGCAGAAGCCAACCTAGTACTAATAGTGGTTGGTACCTTGAGGTTTAGATAGGATTTCTTCTTGAACATCATTTTCAATCACTTCTTTCCAAATTGATGCAGCGTGTCGCAGTTCTTGAGCACAGGTCGAAGCAATGACGAACCAACTTGAAGTGTATTTCGACTGTTGCTCAGATGAACCTAAGTTTAGGATCTTTAGAGTCGACGTGGCGTGTTTGAGAAGTTCAATCGTTGATTTCGAGTCCTTCTCTGCCTATAAAAAATGTTTGATTATTTCTTCTGCCTAAGTATTTTCATCTTAAAAGTCAAAGGGTACCACGAAGGTCGAACGGAACTTAACTAATAACAATCTCTCTGAGAGGAGATCTTCTGAATCAAGCGCTCGAAACTTTGGCTCCTGGAGAGCTTTATAAAGTTCAGTAATACCAAAAGGTCTATGCTGGAGACTTTCCACGTTGACTTCACGGATCAAAACATCATTGTTCAGAAAGTTTTGCAGATCCTACAAGAGAATCACCAAGAATTAGCAAAAGTTATCCCTCAAGAGGCTCTTAGTTGTTTTCTTCAAGTTTTGTATTCCAATAACTACAGATGAACTTCACCATGGCCTAAGAAAAACAGAAGAAATATTCCCACCCGGATTTCACCATCGCATTTTTTAACTTCAGCAACTTCATTAGAATCAGCAGCCAAGTCACGAGCTTCCTTCAATATCCAAAAGTTCAGGTTATGTAACAAAGACTAAAAGATAGAATGTACAAATGAAATGTTACGCCGGAAAAGATCCAAACACAGAATTTCTCCTGACCTTTAAAGACTCAAGATGGTTTAGAGCAATGTAGTATAGTTCAGTCTTCAGCTTCTGAAAGAGATCTTGAAAATCACTAGGCTCTATGCTAATTACTGGTTTTTCATGCAATTCTCTAAAACCATTTGGAACAGAGAACCGATTCTCAACTTCATTTTCCACAGAACCATGTTTAGATTCTCCTTTCCTCGACGTTGAATCTCTCACAGGCTGTGTTGGACCTTGATACTCCCAGGAATCATCGTCAAACTCATCGACACCTTCTGTAACATCAGAGTTATTCAATGCCAGAGAAGGACCTTGAAACTCCCAAGTACTGTCAAAATCATCACCACCTTCTGCTATGGTCTTTGTGGGCCCCTGAAACTCCCATGAATCATCCTCACCATTTGCAGACTTTTGTGATAGATTAACAGCATTCTTCTCCTCCACCTGACTGTATAAACTAGAGAGTAGGTCATTGATGGACACGTTTGGATTTGGAGCCTTCCTCGCGGAAAATTCGCTGACTGAAACAAAATTATCCTCATGAAATAAAGTGTTTTCCAATTTCTCATCTTCGAAAAAGGATAGTGGCAAGACTCCCTTGGGCTTGTTTATCTGCACTTCCTTTTCCTGAATGCAAAATCAAGGACATGAAAAGACACTTCCAATAAGGTAAACAATGTGGAGTATACACATTGGCTTCAGCTTTGCATAACAAAAATGAAAAGATACATTAACAAATGCAAATCGTAACACCAGTTTTTGGATGTTCACAGTAAGATTTAATGAAGAAACCAACAGCAGGTTCAGCAAAGTTAATTGCAGAGATAAGAACAGATATGAAGCTCAAAGTAAAAATACCATCAAAAGTCAAAACTATTCATTTCAAAGCCAAAAGAAAAACCTTTTCATTTCAAAACTATTACCTCTATCTCCTCTTTTGCAGTTTCCAAAGATGGCTGATTAAAAGCCCACGAATCTCCTCCAGAATTCACATTTGCATCTCTTGAAGACGAAATCGAGCTATTTTCCCTCTTTTGCGTCGCTTTCTCAACGTTCGATTGAAAAGAAGTGGTCGTTTCAAATTTAGAAGCAGGTTCAAAATCGAATCTGAACTCCCAGCCGTTAGATTCCTGTAAACGCGCGTCAAGTAAGGCTTGTACCATCATCAAATGCAAAGATTGTTTCTGTGAAATGAAAAGCTTGTACCTTGTTTGTTGAATCGTTCTTTGGCTCTATCGATTCAGCAACCGTAAACTCCCACCCGCCATTGCCCCAAGTATCATCGTCATCTCCGTTTTCCAGGTCAAAACCAGATTTAACTACATCTATTTTACTATTATCAAAATTTGGATCTGTTGCATTTGTAGGTGAACTCCAAAAGCTTGAACTTAAAACAGATCCACTTTTAACGTTCTCTTGTTCGTCCTGCTTAAACAAATTTATCCAAAAACGTATTAGAACAAAGCATAAAGCTTCATCTTCCTTAAGATCTCCCAGTCTTTATACCACAACAAAGACGCTCAACATTACAAAATGCTAGATTTATAGAGAACGATGATTTAGTATAGCTTACCTTAGACTCGGCCGTCTTAAATTCCCAACCATCATCATCGTTTCTATCGACAAAACTCAAATCTGAATCATTTGAATCCAAAGTGACTCCAATTATATTTGAATTCACCCCATTGCTCGTCTTTTCAGACCTTTCCGTATCTAAATTCAATGGATTCCAGCTCAAATTCTCCAATCTGGAATCTGAATTTTCGATTGTCCGGCTCGACAATGACTCTGGCGAATTCTGCTCATTTCGTCCGTTTTCTCTATACAGATCTGCGATCAGGCCACTGATTTCTACAGTAGGATTAGTACTCACTGCTTTCTTCACAGATTCGGTGCTATCATTGTGTTTTCCGGAGAACGAATCGAATGAGAATTTAAACGATGAAACCGGCGCACCTGATTCATCGTCTTCCTCCTCCTCTCCGAACACAGAAAGTGGCACCGGACCACGGGGAGTAACCCACTGCGCCTGACTCTTCTTCTCGGAGTCGATCCGATTGGGCGTCGAATCGGCACCGTTTCGATCCGCGGAGAAAACAATTGGATTGGGGGAAGAATCGACGAAATCTCCCCAATCATCATCTCCTTCTCCGTTGTTTCCTGTGGATGAATCGACGGTGGCTGAAGGCGAGAAGAAGAAATCTAGGCCGTTCATTCGATCGGAGAAACCAGTTTAACGGATGGATTTCGATGTGAGCATGAAGCGCTTTCCGTTTTGGTCTGCGCTCGCTAGTGGGTGGGTGCGCAGGATAGATTACCCCGCGCACTTGAATCTTGTAAGATTCTGAATTGATTTCAATTGTTGTCCTCGTAAAATACGTCAATTGTTAAAGCTGTCACACCCAACAGAAAAATTCCGATAGACCCGCCCGGTCATGACTTCAAATACACATAATCTAAGTTATAGATCCGCCCGGTCATGACTTCAAATACACCTAATCTAAATTATACAACAGGCTACTGTAACAACCCGGATTTGCAAAATTGGGCCAGTTTTTAATTTTTATTAATCAAGCCCTTTAAGCCCAATCTCCTTTAAGTGTTCCATCCAAAACGCATGTATGTATGGAGTTTAATCTGAAATACTCTTCCGTACGCCAACAAAAACCTATCTGTCCCCCTCTAATTTTACTGTCCCTCTTTGCAATGAAATGACGGTTTACTCTTTAATGAATTAAAAAAAAAAATCGAAAAAAATAAAAAAAATTAGAGAATTTCGGGTGGTTTGGTAGAAAATTTAATTGAAACCAATCTAAAATTAATTGTCTAAACCAACCAAACCAACCATATGCACCTCTCGTCTTTCCCTCGTCGTCTTCTTCCTCTCATGTTTCTACCATTGACAAAATCAGAGGCGTGAAATTTTGAAGGTTAGTTGTTGTTGTTTCTTATACTATTTTCGATTTCTTGATTGAATTATCAAGTTTATGTCATAGGCAGAGCAATTAATACATAGTTTCTTCTCAATTAGAGAATTTCATAGTAAAAAAAATTTTGATTTTTTTCTGCTCATTGGAGCTGCTGAGCTAGTTGGGTAAGGCTATTAGAAACTGATATTGTTAATTAAATATGATATCTTGGTTAATTGAGCAATGAATCGTAAAAACTAGTGATGATTCGTATGATGAACCAAACTTTCTGGGTACTACTAGGTACAACTAGCACAACTGGACATATTAGTACGAGTAGTATCAACCAAACTTTTTGGGTACAACTAGCATAACTGGACATATTAAGTGAATTTAGTACGACTAGGATTAACCAAACTTTCTAGGTACTACTGGGTACAACTAGCACAACTGGACATATTAAGTGAATTAGTATGACTAGGATGAACCAAACTTTCTGGGTACTACTGGTACAACTAGCGTAACTGGACATCTTAAGTACGACTAGTAAAACTGGTACAACTATGATAAGATTACCTTACGATTGTTTTGTTCTTTTCAGGGGAAATGAGTAGCAGTGGTTGCACAGTCATATGTTTTGATTATGGGGGGTTCTATTCAAAAGATGGTGATAAAGTTATTTGGAATTCTGTAGAAGATGAGATTCACACTTTAGTGATGAGGAAATCTTTGGAGGATGTCACTTATCTTGGATTAGTGGAGGGAATTTGCAGAAAGGTTTTGATAGATGCAGCTACATCTCAGCTGAAAATTAGTTACTATCCAATGGTCTTGAACACGAAGAAACCATCATATATTTGGAATGACGAAAATGTTTTTGGTTATCTACTACAAATGAGTAAGGATCAATGTAGAAGTGTTCTACATGTGGAGTTCATCAAGGATGTCGATCAAAGTCATGGAAGCGTGCATGTTTCAAGAGAGTATCATGGAGTTGACGTTGATGAAGGTCCAAGTAATGATGAGATGTTTTCTACCGCTAGAGATGGTTTAGAAATACCGGACAGTGAAATGCAAGACAATGAAATGCCAGACAATGAGATGCAAGAAAATGATACAGATCCTCTACAAAGATATGAGCTCGTGTATGATGATGATACAGAAGTCAGACATTCTGATGGAAACTCGCAAGTAAGTCATGGATGGGAAGATGGTTTAGATATATATAAAGGTCAAGAATTTGACACTAGGCAGGGACTGCAAGCTCTCCTGCAGAAAGGTGCACATGAGAATGGTTTTGAGTATGAAACGAAAAAGTCTGATCCCACACGTTTCGTGGTAAAATGTTGGAGAGCAAAAGAGGGATGCAAGTGGGGTTTAAGAGCTTCTGTGCGTATGAACTCAAATAGTTTCACTATTGTCACTTACAACAAGGTGCACACATGCTCTCGGGTTACTACAAGTACAATCAGACAAAAAAAGGAAAGGCACACCACACTTAGTTGCAACTGTTTTGGCTGAAGACTATCCAGGTCGATTCGACACACCAGATCCAAAAACGCTGATCAATATGGTTTAAGGCAGGCTTGGCGTGAAAGTATCATACTCGACAGCGCTGAGAGGAAAAAACAAAGCTGCTAATGAGGTGCGGGGAAGTTCTGAGGAGAGTTATCGGTGGCTATATTCTTATTTGTACATGCTAGAGAAAGTGAATCCGGGTACACGGACTTGTGTGGAATTAGATGAGCAGAAAAGGTTTAAATACCTATTCTTTGCATTTGTAGCTTGCATAGAAGGGTTTCTATCGATGAGGAAAGTCATCATTATAGATGGAACCCACCTGAAGAACGTATATGGTGGAGTTCTAATCGTCGCTTCAGCTCAGGATCCTGATTATCATCATTATCCCATTGCTTTTGGTGTAGTTGATGGTGAGAAAGATGCAAGTTGGACGTGGTTTCTGAATCAGTTGAAGTCAGTAACACCAGATGTCCCTGGAATGGTGTTTATTTCGGATAGGAATCCAAGCTTGATCAAGTCAATAAGGGAAGTGTTCCCTCTATCTCAACACGGGTATTGTGTATGGCATTTGTCACAGAATGTGAAAGGACAGGTTGCCACCCACAGAGATGCATGTTCGAAGAAGTTCATCGAGTGCGCTAAAGCTTATACAAGGGTTGAGTTGGAAAACTCTATAGTGCTTTTAGGATGAAATATCCATCTGCTGCCGAGTATCTAGACAAAAGTGTTGATGAGAAAAAATGGGCAAAATGCTATTTTCCAGGAGAAAGGTACAATATAGATACCACCAATAGTGTAGAATCTATCAATGGTGTTTTTGTAAACGCAAGAAAGTACTCGCTGTTGCCAATGATTGATGTAATTGTTGCCAAATTGGCTGAATGGTGGAACACCCATAGGCAGAGTGCCGCTGAAGTCCCACTGTCACAGAAGCTTGTGCCTTCCGTGGAGAACGAAATGGATCTGAGATGTGTGGATGCAAAGAAACTCATGGTGCAAGAGTTAAACAGCTATCTCCATGAATACAATGTGATTGGGCTTGATGGGAAGAATTATTTGGTTGATATGACTAGGAAAACTTGTTCTTGCAAGTATTTTGATATAGATAGATACCCATGTGTGCATGCAATTGCTGCTGCCATCCATATGAGCAGAGATAGGGAACTTCATCTACAAGAGTTTTGCTCCAAATATTATTTGGTAGAGCTATGGGCATTGGCATACTCCAGGACAATCTATCCAGTTTCTCATATGTCTGAATGGGTTGTACCTGAAGAGATACAAGCACAAGAAGTCTTACCTCCGGAATATGAAGTAAAGAAGAAAACCGCAACAGAAAAGATTCCCATCAGCTGGAGAACATCGTGGAATAGGAAGAGGAAGAAGAGGTAGAGGAAGAGGGAGAGGTGGACGTTGGGCTCAATGGTTTGGGATTGATGGAAGTGAAGAGTAATTTATGTCTTTGTTTTAAATTATTTGAACTATGTGTGCAACTTTGTATGACCGAGACTTGTATCCATGTTATTTCTATCAGGTATGACTAGACACCACTAGTACAACTCTATATTCCGCATCTAATATGTCTGGTACGACTGGTGCGACTAGTACCACTCGTTTCAAGTACAACTAGTTCAACTACATTTTAGTTGTACTAAAGTCCAACTGGGAAGACTGGTACGACTATGCTTTCTACAAAAATGTCAATAACACAATTTGTAAATGTATTTGTAAACATTTTTCCATATAAAATAGGCCATAGAACATTTGCAAACATAGTTAAATAAATTTGATCCACGAAAATGTTTGATCCATGAAAATGTGTTCTCTACACAATCTACCTTATACTTTTAAGGTTACTTTGTAAATCTTAACCACACAAACATGAAAACCATGAAAGTTTGTATTTTTATACTAGTTATAGCATTAGAATATTAGTTTATTTACAAAATTTTACAAGTACAGCTAAAAATGTTTAATTTAGGTATGATACTACTGATTACAAAATTTTACAACTTTATGTCTTTAGGGTACAACTCAAAACTGGGTACAACTATGTTATAAAAAAACTGGGTTCAATTTTTTTTTTTGACGGTGCAAACTTGCAAATATATTCATTTCCTCTTTTGACGGCGCACGTGACTTCATATTTTATCCATTTTTAACTTCATTTTAAACATGTTTTTTTTGCATGCACACGTTTTTTTTTTGCTGTCACACGTTTTTAAAATTCAGATCTAGCTGGTCTAGTTCTGCTAGTCGTACCTTTTAATTCAACACATAAAAAAAGACTTGCATAAAATATATATGTCCAAATCCTGAAAAACACAAAGACAAATTCTAACATAGCAGATAATGACACAACATAAGTTCAAAGGCCTAAGTTACTTAATAACAATCCTTCACCAAACGTGAACGAGTAACCTTCCTTTTTTGCTTGGGAGTCTTACTCCTCTTAATTAATTTATTTGCTGCTTGGGCTTGAAGACTAGGTCGTTTCTTGATTTTCACCTTCCTAGGAGTTTGGACTGTATCGGCATCATCTCCACCTAACAAAAACAAACAAAAATCGATGAAACTCATTATATCAAAAATAAATCTCCAATGGTTTGGCTCATTAAGGAAGATAAATCTCCACTTACCAGCTAGAGCCTTTTCCATAGCCTTATCCAGAGCCGCTAACACTATCTCCGCAGCTGCACTAGCCTCAGCCGCCACAGTCTCCACGGTCTTCGCAGCCTCCATCATCTCTGAAGCTGCCGCAGCCTCAACCTTCTCCCTCTCTACA